GTATTTACTAGAGAAAAGGGACAAAGATAATGATGAAATAAGGAGAAAACTAGAAAACTAATAGTGCTCAATGGTGGCTCCCGTCAAGGGCTAGAGACTCTCATTTTCGAAGGAAAAAGTAGCATATGTAAATCATCGACATTGAGACTTAAGAATTCCTAGAAAAATATCTCTTTATTAAAGATTGTTTTGATCAGCTATTTTGATGTAGTTATAACTAATATTAAATAGCTGAAAACCATTTTTATTTATAATCCAAAGCATGTAATCCATTTAATTAAAGCCAATAACTGATAATTGTTCTTCAAACTCTTAAACAAACACTCACTAAGTCCTTTTAAGAAGTCAAACCTTAAGGGTGTGTTTGGAATGAAAAAAAAACTCCTGCCCCTTTCCCTTATCTAAGGAAATTCTAGACATTTAAAAATTTTCACATTTCAATACTACAAGTAAAGGGCAAAATGAACATTTTATACCTTTACTTTTCTAACACAAATTCCCATTAAGTAATCTTTTTTTTCTCAAGTTTTTTCAAGGGAATAACTTTCGTTCAATTTTCTCAATATGGGTTCCTTTTGACTACTTTCTCCAAACTTTTCTATCAACTTCTTATTAAATATAAAAAAGTTAATAACTCAATAAAACCTCAACAAAAGCTAGTTTCAAAATTTATTAACTCTCCTTACACTAATTCCAATTTTCATACAATTTTCTAATAAAATTAGTCTCCAACCAAACTAACTCCAACGAGTTTTTCTAATTTCTACTCTTAGAACATATGTTAAAGAAATAATAAAATAGCTTAATTTATAAATTAAGCATCAACAATTGATAAAATTAGTCCCTTTCTTTTGTCATGTTCATTAATGCTAAAAAAGTTAATTTATTATGAGTATAAATTAGAAAAACCCAATCAATTTTAATTAACAATAAGCCATCATGCTACAATTGGGTGGCATAATTAATATTGTTAGTTAATATAATATTTTAAAGGTAGTATAATAACAACAATGGTCCTCTGGCATTAAACATGCATGAGTTAAAATTTTTAATTTAATTCTAAATCTATTTTTATAATTTTTTTTTATAAATTCAAAGTTATCTCCTTCATAATATAAGTGATTTAGTGACTTTAAATTAAAGGTTTTAAATTAGTTTACACTAACTTCTTTTTTTTTTAAGCTGTGGTTGGAATTAACTTTGCCAAGCTCTTACTAGTCCAATGTCTAGGTTTGTGAAAGAAAAGGAAACAAGAAATTGAAAGGGCTATTATTGATTATCATGTGCAATGGAGAGAGTTCTTCGATTCTTATGACCCTAAATTTTGAATTCCAAGAGATATATGCAATGAGAATTACCATACCATTTTATTACTTTGTTAACTCCATACCAAGGCATTATTTTGTACTTTGCCTTAGAATTAAATGTTTAGTAAAACTTGAGTAACACAATTTAAAATTGTTACAATTTTTTAGAAGTCTATATAGAACACATTATTATATATTTAGAACTAAGTGTTTAGTAAAACTTGAGTAACACAATTTAAAATTGTTACAATTTTTTAAAAGTCTATTTTGAACACATTATTATATATCACATGCTTGTTCTTTTCCTCCCCATTGCACATTGTTGCTCTTGCAATTCCTTACATAATTTTTTTTAAAATATGTTGATTTGAATTGAAAGAAATGAAGCAAGCTTGGCACAATATTTTCTATGATAGGTTCCTCTAAAAATAATTTTTGTGCCTGAGAAAACAAACTCAAATATTTCTACTCTTGATTTTTTAGTGGAAGATCAAATAAAAAATTATGAAGCAAAAAAGAGTTTGATGAATTCTTGCTTTATTTTATTGGTATAATTTTTTTTTTTTTTTGATACTAAACCCAAAATATTTGGAAGTGACATTGGATCTCAATTAATTTGAAATCAATTCACATTGGACCTCATAAGAGGAAAACTCTCTAAATGCCTATTTCTCCGTTCAAAAAACTCAAACTTGAGCTTTTCCTTGGATAGAACCAAGCGTTTTCTCATTAGACCAATAGGTTGTTGGTTTTATTAGTATAATTACTGATGGAGGATATCATGCACTTAAAAGGAGTAAATGTTGAATGGAGAAGGAAGAAAGGATAAGTTTAGTGCTTTGGGAGAAAAAATAGATAGGGAAAATTAAAAATGAAAAGAGCCATGGTCCATTTTTTATTAGGCCTTAAGGATGTTTGAATTTGATATTTTTTAGGTATTTGAAAAGAAAAATACAAAAAGAATAGCCCAAGGGTCCTTTTTTTTTTTTAGATCATGATTGCACAATGAGAGACAATTTTCTCTCATCCCTTATAGGAAGTTCCATTTTTGAATGGCCTTGAAAATTGTAATATCGCAAATTTTCGAGAATTTTATCATTTAAGTTAGGGACTTGATTGTGAGAAAAGATTGTTTTGGGGCCTGATGTGAATATTTCAAAAGTTGAGGGACTTAAAGAGG